AGACAGGGTCTCATTATGTAGTTCAGACTATTCTTTGTTTTGTTTTTTGTCTTTTTCCTTTTTTATCGGTACCGGGGATTGAACTCACGACTGCCTGCTTACAAAGCAGGCACTTATGCCGCTGAGCTAAATCCCCAGCCCATTCAGGCTATTCTTAAATTCACCATGTAGCCCAAGCTGGCCTCGAACTCATAGTGATTCTTTTGCCTCAGCCTCCTGAGTGCTGGGATTACAGGCATGCACCACAGTGCCCGGCTTTAAATTTTAATTAGTATATGTTTACAGTATATAATGATTATATTCATCATGGGTATGGATAATTTCCTACAAGAAATGAAATGCTATATAATAATAATCTAAATAATCTAAACTGAAACAATAATAATCTAAATAATCTTACAGGAATTTTCTAACATATATTCCATAAATAAATACTTCCAAATCACACAACCTTTCCAGAGAACACATGGTGGAAAACCATATAACTCATTTAATGAGACTAGTAAAACCATTATAATAAAACCAGCAAATATAGTAGGAGAAACTGTAGGCCTGACTTGCATGGATATAAACAAAGGACTTATAAGTAAAATATTAAATCAATGCAGCAATTAAGAATATGTAACAGCTCATAATCAAGTCAGGTCTCTTTAAGAATGTAATGTAATGCTTTTACATTATAAAATTTATCAATGTTAACATCAGATTGATGCATTAAAAGGGAGAAAAGTATAAGATCATCTCAAAATATGAAGAGATCTTAGAGTTTGTATAAATATTTGGTGGTTTCAAGAATGCCTGTAAATTCTTTGTGACTGTTTGTTGGACTGTTAACTTTTTTTTCCAATGGCTACACTGCAGTAGAAGTGATGCTTTGAAAGTTTCATGGTTAAGTGATAAGACAAGAGAGCTTTCTTAAATGGCCTTCTTTCTCAGATTGCTCATTCTGAGAAAACATGAAGCAAGGATACAAAGCACATTCTGTGGCGTGGCCTACCAGGATAGGAAATTGGGCCTCTCACTAACGACCAAGATTTGCCAGCATGGGAACGAGACATCTTTGAACCAAGACATCCAGTTATGTAAAGCCTTCAGATGACTACGGTTCTAGTTGACATCCTGACTCTAGTAACATGTGAGACCCTGAACTAGAACCACTCAGCTAAGCCACTACAAAATTCCTGACTGGCAGAAACCATGAGATGAGAAATGATAAATGTTTACTGTTGTTCTGGGAGCAGGTAGGTTGACATAAGAAGAAATAGAAAAACACAAGTAAACCTTACCCATTAAAAACTATAAAATGGTATACAACCCCTGCTCTCTGTACCCTGTAGGAAGAAATAAGTCCTATTTTAAGGTAGTTTTACAATTGAATTCTATCAAGTTTTTAAAAATTGTTCTAGAAAATAGCAAAGGGAAAGATGATAATTTGTTTTAAAACTATAACCATAATGACTAATGAATATAGTCATAAGCAAATATTAGGCACATTTTATTTATGTGTATATATACACCAAAATCCTAATTAAAATATTAATTAATTTATTTTTATTAAAAGCTAATCTGCTACCCCTAAAAGTGATTATCACTAATTAATTTGAAACAGTTCTCTACTTTTCTAATGTATTTAGGGTAACCAAGTAGACATAGTTATTGAGAGAAATTTCCCCTTTATAGAACCTCAGCCAATAAATGTAGAAGCAATCCGAAACTCTGTTTTATTTCTATTTTTCTTCTTCTCTTTGAGACAAAATAAAAAATAAGTGTAGAAGGAATGGTAGACTCACAAAACCAACTTTGCAACTCCTAAATAAAAATACCTAAAGACCATCAATGAGTGTTAGTAGTATTAGGTAAAAGATTGATGAAGAAATAAATATTCACATGGAATCCAAGTATCATTTTCAGGTATTACTTGTTAGTCACAGGAATAACTATAATGAAGAAACTCTGGCAATCACAATCATAACCAAGGGACCAAGCTCACTGTCACTATGTATAGTACAACAATCAGACAAATGTTCTACTGCCATGATGCAATTATTGAGTATCACTATGAAATATTCTTCCCAATGATGTTCAATCTGAAGTAAATCAAGCTTTCTGATCAAATTTACAGCTTTGAGGGAACAAGGATAAAGGAGCAAAACCTATATGTGAAAAAGTCATCAGATGCAAACTCATTCTATAGACCAATTTGCTCATTCTTTAACAAGGATATCTCATGGGGCAAAAATAGGATGTGTGTAAAGGATGCTTTAGACTTATAAAATTAAAACATATAACTAAATGCAATATACCATACTGTACAATTTTTGAGGGGAAGAAAAATGTGAAAGTAGGGCTAGTTTGAAAAAGAAGAACAAAGAAAGGGGACGATTTTCTGTATCAAAAAGTAATATAGATCCTAGGGAGGCCTCAATGCTAGTGCTAAAAGGCTACCTACTGTAAAAAATTAACAGGCATAAACATAGAAAAAAATTAAATTAAAATAGAAAGTGACAAGATGTAAAAGCAAAATCCACCTTCAGATCTCCAGCCCACCCAGGACAAGTCCAAAGGACAATGAGGTAGAAAAAATGGAAACCACCCATCCGAAATTTCTGAAATGATAGCAGCAGAAGTTTAAAATCAAGTGCATGAGCCTATAGAGGAAATCTGATCAGAAATAATCTCCCAGGTGAAAAAGGAGATGATGGCCATAATGAAAGACTTAACAAATCTAGAACACATATAGATTTAAAAAATTAAGATACAATATAAAGCCATATTAATCTAAGTTAGTTATGTAGAGTCAGTTAAATGAATCCATAGTGAAGCACAGGTCAGAAATGCCATGAATACATAGGAACATACTGTAGGACAAAAATGGCATCAGATGTCAGTGGAGGAAAAGATAATAAATGACAGTGACAAAAATTACCTAACTATATACATAGAGAAAAATTAATTTGGAACCCTACTTCACACTGTTTTTAAAAATATAACCCAGATATCTAAAACTAAAGAATAAAACTAAATGTAAGATTACAAAAAAGAAAAAATTATTTGATATATTTGCATCCTAACATAGGAAAAGATTTTTTAAAAAAGACTAAGATAGACAAAGGTCCCATTAAAATAACAAGAAAATTCTACAAATCTTTAAAGAACCCCAATCATAAACAAACAAAAGGATATATACATAATTCAAAAAGGGAAAATCTAACTAGTTAACAGATATATAAAGACACAGTCCACTTCACTGTGATAGATGAATACATATTAAAACATTTTGGGCACACCCTCCTCCACACACTTTATACCTATCAGGTGTGCAGAAATTAGAAAACTAGATAATATCCAGTAATGATGTGGATATGGTGAAACAGTTTCATGTAGTGGTAGTGAGGAGGTTATGCAGAACCTAAGTAAGTTTATACACGTAGCATGTCAATTCTTGAGTACACATCCCAGAGAAATGCTTCTAGTCCTCTAAGGAAAGGATATATTCTTTGTAATGTTGCATATGATAGTAAAACAGACAAAAGCAATCTAAGAGTACTGAGGGAATAGATAAGTAAAACATGGGACAGAATAGAATAATATGTTCAGTCAGAAACAAATGGGTATATGTGTAGCAACATGGAATAAACAGAATGAGACATAAAATGTATATATATATATATATATATATACACACACACACACACATATATATACATAAAATCTTGAAAAATGTAGTTATAGAAGATATATCAAAAGAATGTATATATGTTAAAAATGCAAGAATGGGCATTTAAGGCATGAATGGGAAGGAGAATGGAGAATGCAACTGAAGATGGGAAAAGTCAATGAAATAAACACATATACAATCCTAAAGAACAATCTTTCCAGAATCAGTGATGGAGGGGTGCCATGAGTTAAGAAACATGAACAAGTAAATTCAGTGAAACTAATATCCTGAAAACAACAAAAAAGAAAAGAAAAAGGAAGTTCTATAGAAGAAAAAAGCCAGTGGCACAGGAATTAAAAACAGAAATCACTCAGGGACTATAAAACTAATAGTAATAACGAACAAGCAAATGACTCAGTTACTAGGGTAAAAAAAAGTGTTCTCATTTATTAAATAGTAAAATATTAAATAGTAAAACAATATAAGCTTATTAAAGACATAAAAATTAATGTATCTCAGTCTTTTTCTACAACTATGGAAAAGGAATATAAACTAAAAGAATAGTGAAGCAGAGCATGAAAGTTATCAGTTTTTCCATCTTGAAATCTTTTTAGATCAGCTCTAAGAACAGTTATATTGCAGTTTCATAAGAGGCAGACAATAATTACTATATCTAGTATTTGTCCTCTCGACTACATAAAATTAGTCTACAAACTGACCCTAAATGTTGTCCCTAAAGGATAAGATTATCTCAAACTAAAATAAATGCTACGTAATAGCAGCCAGCACAGACCCATTGAAGTAAGCATTAAATGCTTTCTGATATGTAGCTAAATGTCCTTAGTATCTGTACTACGTTGGCATCTTGGTTTAGCACAGACATCAAAATGAATAACCCCAAAAAAGATTTAAGTCAAAACACTGCCAAAATGAGCTATCAATATAACTTCTCTATTAGTATTGAGAGCAGAACATTGTAAGTTCCTATACCTTTGAATATTCATGTTTGATTATTATACTTCTCTCTAACCTATAGAAATACATAGTTAAGATTAGGAAACACTCATATTTGAGCTTAACAAAATATGACACATAAAACTTGCTAAATTGCTGATTTAATAAGAAGTCAATTAATGGATCTATATGTTAATAAATATAATCTTGCATATGTTTTGAACAAAAATAACCATATGCAACTCCAAATAATGTTAAGGTTAATGATTTTAAGACACAGTTAACAAATATATGCAAAATATATCAAGTCAACTCCTCATCTCAGCCATGTTTGAGCTCATCAGAAATATGCCTATCTCTCATAAAGGGATGTATTTTTTATCCTTACCAATAGGGGATTCTGGGGTTAGACCCATGCTTTGAAGCAATGCTTCAGCTTCTCTTCTTTTTTTCTCAAGATCAGATTCTTCTTGCACAGGAACAACAGTTTCCTTCTTCTGATCAGTCTAAAGTTATTAAATTAAAATCTAAGTTTACAAATGGCATAAAACATTTCTATTTGTTAAAATATAAAGTGATAAAGTGCTGTGTATTTTGAGCAAAATTAGATCTGTATATATTTTTATAGTCATTCCTAAATTATATAATCATTAATAATCTCCAAATGCTATTACTAAATTGATTCATGTATTTTTCTATAGCAGTGATGACAAACCTTTTAGAACTTTCAATGATACAAACAGCCTACTGAAGTATGTGTGCCATGTGTTTGCCACCACTGCTTTAGAGTATAAAACTGCTGACTATGGACAGGAATGGTAGAAACCACCTCCCTCCCCAATTGGCACAAAAGTTGAATTATAAATGTCCTAACATTATGGAAATAAGTGGAGTTATTTAAGAAGTAGCAAATTCTCAGTAAATGGACAATTTGATTTGTTGAAAAAACTTGAGTATGTCAAACTTCTATATAAAATTTTCACTATATTTATGTAACTATAGGTAGAGACTATAAAAAATTCACCTGGAGGAAGTTTTTAAAATTATAGGTGTTTTTTAATTTAAGAAACAGAGTAGCTGGGTGTGGTGGTACATGCCTTCAATCTCAGCAATCTGAGAGGCTGAAGCAGAAGGATCGGAAGTTTGAGCCCTGTCTGGGCAATTTCAGCAAGATCCTGTTTAAAAATAAAAAGCCCAGCTGGAAACATAGAAAGAGTGAGTCCCACTATGTGCCCAGGCTAGTGTCAAATTCCTGGGCTCAAGTGATCTTGCCTCACCCTCCCGAGTGGCTAGGATTACATGTAGATGCCACTGTGCCCAGCTTTTAGGTCTTATGGTAATAATACAAATATATGGTTTGTTTACAATTAAAATTGCTTTTACAGAGCACAGAACATTTTTTTGTTATGAAAATATTAGCAACTTTTATTTGTCATGGGAGTTTTGGCAAAATCTTTGAGTTAAACAACTAGATAAACTTCAGTGTTTTCAGATCATCCAAAACATCTCAAATAAAATCTAAGCTTTCAAGGGAAAACTTGAAAACTTTTATACATGCACCTCAAATGATGTCAACTAGATAACTATTACACATTGAGTGAATTTTGTTAGTCAAAATACTATAGTATCACTGTAACCAAATTCAAATAGGAAAATGGAATATCATACCAAGCTGATGCTTTAGGATATATAATATAGTAGACCCACCGCTTATTACTACTGAATTATCTCTTGTAATATTTTATAAACTTGAAACTAAATAGCAATACTAAAATAGATATCCCTTAGATATCATTTATGGCTAGAAACAAAAATTAAATTTGTTCTCAGCACTGAAATGTTTAAGAGTATGGTACTATTTAGGAAGGTTCAGCCAATCTGAACCATGCTTCTATCAGTTTTTAATCAAATACCTAGCGTAAACCTCTAACCTTCTTATCATTGAAAGGTTCAGAAGAAATTAGCACATTCTTCTACAATAGCTCTCATTATATTATCGTAACAATGCTGCACATTGTGCCTTTGATTTTTCTGCTATAGATTTTTCTCTTAGTCTTTAGATTCTAGTAGTACTATTATTTATGCTATTTCACCAAAGGTGCATTTAAGACACACTACCTTACACTGTCCCTTTAAAACATTATCTGTGGTAAAAGTATTCATAATCTGTCTTTAAAATTTTCCAAAGGGGCTAGGCAGCAGTCAGGTGGCTCAGGCACGGGGTAACAGGGAGTTCAAGGCCAGCCTTGGCTACATAGTGAGTTCAAAGACAACCTGAACTGTATCATGAAACCCTGTCTCAAAAAACCAAAAAATTTTTTAAAAAAATCCATAGGGAACCAGGTGCATGCCTGTAATCCTAGCATTCGGGGTGCTGAGGCAGGATGACTGCCTCAAGTTTGAGACCAGCTTGGTCTACATAATGAATTCAAGGTCACCCTAAACTATATAGTGAGATCTCAAAACAAAAACATCTCAATAACAAAGATTTAGAGATAAATACGTTTCAACACAGGAAGAAATAAAATATCTCCAGGTAAGGGTCAATGTGTATTTGTTTTACATGATGAAATATGTTTTAGAAAAAACCAGTATCAAAAATACCTGGTTCATTTTTGTGGTACTATCGAGACTAACTCACGATAAGAAACAGAAGTACAAATATAGTCAAGTATCAAGTATGTCTTTTATTATATATATCTGTTTGCCATTAGCATTATACAGCCTGTCAAAATTATTAGTTCAGACTAGCAAAAATAGCCAAATGGTCCAAAGTCTAAACTAAGTTGTGATAGATGCCCTACTGTACGAACTATTATAGCACAAATGCTTATTTTAATATATTCCTGAAGGATCACATATATAAATCGAACATCTGCAAATGAAATCTTTGAAAAGTATTATCCTAAATGAAATACTTTTATTCAGGTAAAAAATATCATATTTAAATTTACCTGTTTTGTCAATTTTCTGTATCTGGTTTCTATAAAGTAAGATTCACTTATAGTGCTACCTTTGCAGTGACAACAGATAGATTTTTAACTATTTTAAATTATATAAAGGCATAAGAACTTGAAATAAAACCAATTATTTTGATTTTACTTTTTATAATGAAACATACTTCTTTTTTTTTCCTTTCTTCTTCTTTCCTCTTCTTTTCCTCTCTGATTTGGGCCAATCGCTGCTTCTTCCGTTCCAACTCAGCCTTTAATTCACTTTTGTCTGACATGTTTGTGACCCTAAAAAAGTGTACAATCATTTACGATTATCATTACATTGGCACAAGTAGCACATTAAAAAAAAATAGTGCTTCAAGAAGAGAACAGTCCCAAGAAGAGTCTAAAGATAGTACTGTATACAAATTCCACATTTAAAATAATAGAACCAAGCCAGGTGTGGTGGCCCATGCCTATAAGCCCTACTACTTAGAAAGCAGAGGCAAGGAAAATTTGGGTCTGTCCTGGGCAACTTCATGAGACTTTGTCTCAAAAAATAAATTAAAAAATATAATTAAAACATACACATACTAAGATGAGAAACATTACTTTATAAACAAATTGTACATAAAAACTATTACCCAGTGCGGAGCACAGGAGCTAACATGCAGTAAGTGTTTTAACGTTCATATACCCAAACTTAACAAAATGTCTCAATGTTTTTTTTTTAATGTCAAAATATTAGGGTACTGAAGAGTTAAAGGTCAAAACTAGCACTTAAATCAGAGGATACTGGTTGACATTTAGAAGCTATACCACAGCAAATAAAACTGTCAATAGTTCTGCACTCATTCTTAGAAACGTTACAAAAACAACAGGAGGTCAAACAGAAAATTCCTATACATTCTAATTACATGGAATTAGTAATAATAAAGCAAAATACAGCCACCATCATTAACGATCAAACCAAATGATCTTTTATTGCTCTGCAATAAGACCTCACCTACACCTTTTAAGGCCCTTTTAGTACAATTTTTGTGAAGACTCCTGAGATTGTAATCTATTTGAAACCAGAGTGTGTTTTAGTCATTTTTGCTATCTTCACAGCATCCCCAGCGCAGTGTCCACATTATACTGACACTGACTAAATGATTAATGGGCAAGGCAGACAGAATTACAGAGCTTCAAAAAACAATCACCATACGTACTACAGTACTTCATCTTCAGTTTTAGGAAGAAGTAATGAATATTTTTAACTGAAAACTATAACGCTGCACATCAATACTATTTTACATCTCGGTCAAACTGATCAGTTTTAGTCAAACACCAAGAGTAAAGTTTGTAGGGCTGAACCATAGGTGATGGGCCCAGTCATCTTCAGAGAGGCCACAGCCTTTCCTCCAGGACTTAAAATGCCAGGGAAGACACTCTCTACAATTCCATGCAACAACTCTTCTGTACCGGCGACCCTTCTGTCCAGCACACACAAGGTGAGGGAGACACTATCACCCCAAGGGTAACGTCCCTCATTGGTAAAATGGAGCAAGGTGGAAAGTAGCAACTTTCTCCAGCGGGCTTCCGGCCAAACGGGCGCGGTCCAAGCTACCCTGGACCAGGAAAAGGAACCAGGGGCGCCAGGGTTCCCACGCTGCTCACGACAGTCGAGAAGGGAAGGGACTGGACTCCGCGCCTCGGGCCGCACTGAGTCACCCTCTCGGCTCCCCTTGCCTTTCTTTGAGAAGGCGGCAGGCAGGCAGGCGCTGTCAGCAGGATCTGCCAAGCAGTCCCTGCCAGTTCCGACATGGACTACAGCAGGCAGGAGGGCCTTGAGGGAAGGACAGTCAACTCACCTGTCTGGTGGCGGGACAGGAAAGCGTCCGCCTGCCTGCAACGTCCCGGAGATGTCCCTAGGTTAAGCCCCAAAGCCAACTGTCGTCACCACCACCTCAGTGGCTTCTGAGACACACAAAGAGGGATGGGCGGCGGCTGCTACGGCGAAGACGTAGGGACAAATGTCTTCGCCCGAACGAGACCGCTCCTAGAAATATGGCGTTGGCCCCTGAAGCCACTCTTGACTTTACCTTTTGTAAAAACGATAGATGAAATAAAGAATCCAAACCACTGGGTGTCCGAAGTGTTTCCGTTTCGTCAAAGGTGAAAAGCTATCTTTAATAACCTGGAGGTGAGCACGGAAAAACAGCCTTTCGCGTCGGAATTGGTGCAATATGGGAAAACTACAAGCCCCAGCAGCAAGGCGAGAAGTGCATTCTGGGAGTTGTGACCACTGGTTGTCGCAGGGTATGGTGGGATACGTAGTGTGTCTTAACTTCGGGTTTCCCATTTCAGGAGGTCCAGATCCCAAGAAGATAGTAGAACTTTGGTATTCTCTTAAGGTGGACAGTGTTCAGAATGTTTCACGTGTTTTATTAAGATCTTTGACTCAACATTGACAGAATTTTGAGAAGGATTATTTTTCATGGCAAAATTGGGTGAACGACACATTTGAGGGAACACGTATAGTTAGATGTCTAAAGATGTAATTTTAGAACAGACTTATTGAGGATCCATGTGTTATCTAAGGTGAACTAAATACAAATAAAATTAAGCAGTATGCCAAATATTTCTCTAGTATTTTGTGGCTGTGTAGTAGCATTTTTATTTTCTCGCAAAACAGTTTTTGGTAAGAAAACAGTTTGTGTTTTTATTTATTTATTTATACACGAATGCGATACATAATGTTTACATTCCTTGTAGGGACTTGATACATGTACATAGCACGTCTTTATTCCTTTTTCATCCCCTTCCCCTCTATTCCTTCCCTGCTCCTTCCATCTCTTGACTCCCCTATCTTCACATTCAAAGGTTTACTTGACAAAATATGAAGTTATATTACCCTGAGCAGAAAAAGAACCCTGATTTGTGAATCTACAACTCACACACTTTTAAAAACTGTCAAACACTACAAACACTATAAATGCAGAAGTAAAATCACAAGGCTTTAATAAAGCAAGAACTCCTCTAGGAAACTTCCTTTTTTCCCATCTTATTATGTATCTCTTATTTTTCTTTTTGTCTATATTTTGGATTTTTATATAAGAGAAACCACACAATATTTAGGCTTGTATGTCTGCTTTATTTCATTTGACATTATGGTCTCAAGATGCATCTATTTTCCTACAAATGACTCAAATTTATCATTCTTTATTGCTGAGTAGTGTCATATGTATAAATGCCACATTTTCATTATCCCATGATAGACATAGAGGCCACTTCCAAGATGTAGCTATTGTGAATAGTACTGCTATAAACATGGGGAAACACATTTAATATGTCTACAACTCTTCTGCAAGAATACCTAGAAGGGGAACAGTTGGGTCAAATGGAATTTCTAGTTTTAGTTTTTTGAGGAATCCCCATACTGACTTTCATAGTGTTTATACAAGTTTACATTCCCACCAACCATGTAGAAGAGTTCCTTTCCCTTTCAGCCTTGCCAGAATTTGTTATTATTTGATTTCTTGATGATAGCCATTCTTTCTGCAGTCAGAGAGTATCTCAGTGTTGTTTTAGTTTGTTTTCCTCTAGTGGACAGAGATGGTGAATTTTTTTCATGTATTTATTGGCTATCTGTACTTCTTTCTGAGAAGTGTCCTTTCAGTTGCCCATGTTTTTGAGTGGGTCTTTTGTTGGGGGGTAGTTTTATTGAGTTCTTTGTATATTCTAGATATTAGTTTTCTGATGAATAGCTGGCAAAAAACTTTATCATTCTGTCGGTTGTCTCTTACTGTTGATTGTTTCCTGGTTGTGCAGTAGCTTTTTAATATGATAAAGTCCCATATATTGATTTCTTAGTATTGTTTCGTGTGCAATTGGAGTTCTATTCAGAAAGACCTGGTGTGTGCCTATATCTTCAAGAGTTTTACCTGTTTTATCTTCCAGCAGGTTAAATGTTTCTGCTCTAATATTAATTATGTTTGTTTGTTTGTGAGGCAAGATCTTACTATGTAATGTAAACTGGCCTTGAACTTGCTTATGTACCCAACTCTGGCCCCAAACTCATGGCAATCCTCCTGCCTCAGTTTCCTGATTGCTGGGATTACAGGCATGTGCCACCTTGCTCAGCTGTTTTAACATTTAGATATTTGATCTCTTTTGATTTAACTTTAGTACATGGTAAGAGATACGGGTCTAAAATCAATCTTCTGCATGTGGGTAGCCAGTTTTCCCAGCACTCTTTTTTCAAAAAGCTATCTTAGGGCCAGGGATTTAGCTCAGTGGTGTAAGTGCCTGCCTGGCAAGTTGTGAGTTCAATCTCCACTGCTGAAAAAAAATGGAGCTAAATAAGTTACTTTCCTTCAGCATAAATTTTTTACCTCTTTGTCAAAGATCAGGTAGCTGAATGTGCCTAGAGTTGTTTCTCCGTACTTCATTTTATTCCGTTGATCTACATCTGTTTTTGGCAATACCATGCTATTTTTAAATGTATATTTTAACTTTCAGTCCTGAATTGTGGTGCCTCCTGCCCTTGATCTTGTTACTTTTGCTAGTCTATGTCATTTCTGGTTCCATCTGAATTTTAGGATTGTTTTCTCTAGTTGTAGTTCTAGGAATGCTATTTGCATTTTGGTTGGGACTGCATTAAATTTGTAAAAACAGTTCTTGGAAGTTTGGGAAGTATAGCTGTTTTGATTATACTAGTTCTGCCTGTCCAGGAACACATGATATCTTTCCATTTTCTGATGTCCTCTTTAATATCCTTTTTGAGAGTATGATAGTTTTCACTGTAAAGGCTTTTACTTCCTTGGTTAGGTTATTTCCCAAGTATTTAATTTTTTCGATGCTATTGTTAAAGGTACTGCTTCTTTAATTTTTTCTCAATGGAATAATATTTTTTGATTTTTGTATGTTGACTTTTTATTCTGCTACTCTATTGAATGTTGTTTTTAGTCCTAGAAGTCTCTCAGTGGAATTTTTTTGGGTCTTCTCTGTAGAGAACCATGTCATCTGCAAATAATGGCTTCTTCTGTTCCTACACATATCCCTTTTATTCTTTTTCTTGCCTGATTAATGTTTTAAGAACTATATTGAATAATAGTGGTGACAGTAGACATCGCCACCTTGTTCCTGATATTACAAAGTGTGGCAGATCACTTAAGGAGAAGTGAGGCTTTAACTGACCTCCTCTATGAGCACAAGGGAAAAAGGCAACATGCAGGGATGATGGTATTTGTAGATTCTAGGAAAAAGTCAATACAGCTGAGTTGTTTACCTGAGCATATACTAATGGATGTTGGAAGGCAGATGAGATTTGTGTTACTTTAATTGCTTGTACCTATGTCTGATTGAATAAAGGCAGGATGTACCAGATGCTAGGGCTTTCTGCCTGCTAGAAACAAGAGTTCCCTGGATACTGCATGCTCAGTTTGTGCCTGTTTGTCTTTCAGATTTGTTCACCCCTAGGTCAGGTTAACAAACTAGTAGACCAGCCTGGGCATAGGCCGGTTTACCACAAGAAGGCTTCATCTTTTCTCCACTTGACATGATGCTGGCCATTGGTTTGTCATAAATGGCTTTTACAGGTTGAAATAAGATCTGATTATACCTATTTTCTTCTTCTTCTTTTTTTTTTTTTTTTTGGTAGTGAGGATCGAACTCACAATCTTGAGCTTGCAAGGCAGGCACTTAGTAGGTAAATCTTCAGCTTCTTCATGGTTTGTTTGTTGTTTTTTTTTTTTATCATGAATGGATGTTGGATTTTGTCAAAGGAAAGGCTTTTTCTGCTAAAATTGAAATGATCATGTGTTTTTTTCCTCCAGCTTTTGTTTATTTGGTATGTGACATTCATTGATTTGCATATGTTCAACCATCCTTGCATCTCTGAGATAAATTCTACTTGGTCATGATTTATGATCTTTTTGATGAAATGTTGCATTCTATTTGCCAGTATCTTGTTAGGATATTTTAGCCTGTATGTTCATTAAAGAGATTGGCCCATAATCCTTTTTTTTGGTGGGAGGGTCCTTATCTGTTTTTGGAAGCAGGCTAATGCTATCTTTCAGGAATGATTTTGGGAGTATTCCTTCCCTTTGAATTTCATTGAAGAGTTTGATGAGTATTGGTGTTGGATCTTCCCTAAAATTTTTGTAGAAGTCTACAGGGACTCCATCAGGACTTGAACCTTTAATAAAAAATTACTTCTTCAGTTTTATTGCCTGATATTGTTTTGTTTAGAATTTTTACGTCTTTTTGGTTCAGCTTTGATAGTTTTTATGAATCTAGGAACCTATCAATTTCTCTTGAATTCTCCATTGTATTAAAGTACAAGTTCTTGAAGCAGTTACTAATAGTCTGGACTTCAGCAGTGTGTTGTGATTTTGTCTTTTTGACTTCTAATTGCATTTATTTGGGTCTTGTCTTTCTTTTTTGGCGTAAGATTAGGTAGGAGTGTATATATTTTTTTTCTAAGAGCCAGCAGTTTGATTCATTGGCTCTCTGTATTTTTTAAATCTCAATTTCATTGATTTTTTTCTCTGATCTTTATAATTTCTTTCCTTGTACTAGCTTTGGACTTGAATTGATCTTGTCTTTCTAGGACCTTGAGATGTATCAGTAGGTCATTTATTTGGCCTGCCTCTGTATTTTTGATGTGGGCATTCACAGCTATTGTGTCCTGTTGTTTCTTGTATGTGTAATAGCATCATTGTGTGATTTCATGAACTAATTTCTTCCTTGATTTCTTCTGTGACCCACTGATTATTTAAGGCAATATTATTTAATTTCCATGAAGTGTGTAATTTCTATGATTTCTTTTGCCACCAATTTCTAGTTTCATTTCAGTATGGTCTGATAATATGTATAGTATAATTTCAATTCTTTTATATTTACTTACACTTTCTTTATGGGATAGTATGTGATCTGTTTTGGAGGAAGTCAATGTGCTGCTGATAAGAATGTGTATTCTGTGGTTGTTGGGTGGAATGTTCTAGATATCTATCAGGTCCATTTATTTGAAGGATTGATTCAATTCTGATATTTATGTACTTATT